CCCCGCTCGCACCCGCTGCGCCAGGTCGCCGCCATTTTGGAGGCCCTGCCACGCGGCGCGGCCTTGGCTGCTGTTTCGAACAGTCCCTCCGCCGCCAGTCCCGGGGGGAGGTGGAAGCGGACGCCCAAGCCCGACTCACCCATTTTTGAGGTCTACTTCGAGGAGGCGGCCGTAGCCGCTGAAAAAGCGCTGGATGTCCTTTTCCCGGACATTGTAGCTCAGGCGTCCTATGTAGACGCGCGGCATGTCCGTGGCGAACGGAATCCCGAAGGCTGGTCTTCCAAAGGCGGCCAAAAGACAGGAGCCGCGGTGCGGGTGCGGGGACGGCGAGAGCCCGAACACGCGCCTCACACCGCAGCGGTGGCCGAGTCCAGCCACACAATGGTGTGCGCGCGCGCTAGGGCTACGCTATATGGGCGGCCTGAGGGCGGGGCCCACCGCCCCGTGACGTCAGCACGCAGTACGTACCCGCCCCACGTCGCGCGCTGGGCTGTAGAGTGACTGGTGAGTCCCTGGCGCGCGGAGGTTGAAGTGCTACTTTGCTTCCAGAATTTTCTCCGACCTTCCCCACCATCCCTGTAAACAAAGTACAATATCCCGTACTCCAGTCGTGGACTAGCTTTTGAATAAACTTTTCCCGCGTAATCTAACTAGAGTTTGGGAGGAAGCCTAAGACAACCCCCGGTTTTCATTGGTCCCCAGTGGCGTACCAGACCACTGTGGTTTGTGATTGGTCCGTTAAAACGAGGCTGGGCCTCTGCTCCACACATTGATTCATGCCCATTTTGGTGGAGATGCTCTTGAACACAGCCTGTTAGCCCGTTTTACAGAATCCGAAAATTATGCTCCGAGGCCGTAGTGACTCTCCAGTGTCCTGCTGCGAGTGCAGTCCTGCCGGCTTCAGTCCTTTGGTGTCTCACAGCCTTCACCGCCTTTTTGCTCCTCCTCCACTCCATGGGTCTTGTTTGGAGCACTGGTATTTGTAGGTTGGGGTGCACATAGGAATCCCGCGCTCTCTGCCGTCGCACACAAAGGGAGTATGGCCAAAGCCCTTGGCACCAAAAGCAGGTGTCCGGGAAGGTTGTGCAAGACCTGACAGCCTTCCCACAGCAATAGGCTCTTTCTACCCTGTAATGAAAAGTCTGCAATAACAAATACTATCCTTATCCCCATTGATTTGGAAAGTATCTTTGTGGCACAAATACACATGGTGAGCTTATCAATATATGCCATTTAAAGCTGCAAAACTAGATAACTCCAGAGTGAAGAGCAGAAGGCCCATGGCCACGTCCACCAGTATACTCTGAAATTTATTTAAATACGGGAAAGGGAATTAGAAGTGACTGACTAGTGCCGGGCGTGGTGGTGTACACCTGTAATCCAGCACTGGGGAGGCAAAAGCAGGAGGGTCTCTAGGAGTTCGAGGCAAGTCTGGGCTATATCGCGAGTTCAGGGCCAGCCGAACTACAAAGAAAGACCCAGTCTCAAAAACCAAAACACTTAAACAATAAAAAAGTGAATGACTAGAGGAAAAAGATAGAGTATGATGTCACAGAAGCTAAGAAAAGGCTATCGCTGAGATAATACCAGTTCTTTAGGTATTTCTGCATTCTCTTTTTGACTGTTACAGCCTCAGTAGCCTTTAGTTTCTGGATGAAAAGGGGCAATTTTGTCCCCCAGGGGAGATTTGGCAGAGTCTGTAGGTATTGTTGCCTGTCATGATTGGCGGAGAGATTAATGCTGGTAACTAGTGGGTAGAGATCAAATTAAAAGTTTGATAAAAAATACAAGTAGATTTAAAATGGTTTATTAATGGGATGTAGTTGAGGAAATGAGAAACTGAGAATTCGACAACATGATAACATTTTCACTCATCACATTGTCAATATTTAAATATTTGTTAAAATACATTATTTGCAAGAGGTGCGTGAGCCAGGATATGACAGTAACATATTGTCAATGGGACTGAATATACCTTTAATAGGGAAGGAGCTGGAGTAGTACTTAACTGAAGGCTGTACATGGAAAGTAAGGTGTTCCTGTCTCTCTCCTTCATTTGCCTGAAAAGAAGAACACAACTGCCATTCTCTCTTCTTACTCTTTTCCCAGGGCACAACAGATAACAAAACAGAACCCAAAACAAATGGTAACAAAGCTGGAGACTGGCAACAGAAAATAGTCTATAATATCATCATCAAGAGGGTGTCGAACCTCCAACATTCTGTGAAGTCTTGCTTATGAACTAATTTTATATTTTGTATATATGCTGCCAAAGCGAGCACCTAATTTTATATTTTGGAAGAGCAACTCAAGGAGAAATAGTTAATGAGCAATGAAGTTCATTTCTTTAGACAGTGGTAGATAAAATCACTCCATTGCTGCTCATTCTAGAATTGTAGTGGTAACTGAAGGAATCCATCAGCAGAAAAAGGAGAGTCACTTCCATGGCATCCAGAAAAGTGTTACTTCAGGTTCATAATTGTCAAGATTGTGAAAGACAGTCTCGAGTGCATTGTGATTGTGGTTTTCAACCCAGTGCATGTTCTTACATGTATTAGCTGGAAACCAAAGGAATTTTCAAAACACCACATGATTCAAAGGGCGTATAAACCAGATTCTGAATGATGTTGTTATCTTATACCTGAAAAATTTAGCATTCCAGTAGCTGTTGTCGTGAATGTATTTTGGGAGACCATTCCAATTGTGATGGATAATTTTAGGTGTCAAATTGTCTTGATCAAGGAATGCCTAGATAGCTGGCAAAGCATTATTCTGGGTATGTCTGTTGTGAGAGCGTTTCTAGAAGAGATTCGCATTTGAGTCAGTCGAGTGAGTAAGGAAGTTCTGCCCTTTTTACTCAGTGTAGATTGATATCCTCCAGTTAGGTAAAGGTGTGGATAGAACAAAAAGGCAGAGAAAAGGTGAATTTGCTTGCTGTTGTGGAGCTAGGACAATCCTTTTTTTCCTGCCCTTGGCAGCAGGATTCTGTTTCTTTGGTCTTTGGACTCTAGGACTTGCACCAGTGGTCACCCAAGTTCTCAGGCCATTTGCCACAGATTGGGAGGTATATTATCAACTTTCCTGTTTTGAGGCCTTTGGACCTTGATCCAAGCCCTTCTATGGCTTCCCTGGCTCTCCTGCTTTCAGATGACCCATTTTGGGACTTCTCAGCCTCCATGATGGCGTGAGCCTGTCCCCCTGATAAGGCCCTTATCTGTCTATCTCCTTTTATGGAGAACCTAATACAGCAATTCAAGTATGTCTATATGGAATGGAGTGCCTGTAGTAGGGGTTGCTCCAGAAGCAGAATCCAGAAATTGAAACTGTGTATGACACAGAAAAAATTGTGAACTGTATGATTAAGAGCCAAGCTGGGAGACTGAGTTAAATGTTGCTGAGCCCATCTGAACTCTTGTTTAAAACATCTGATTCTTGGAATCTTGTACACAGTTTCCCAACCTCAGCACTGCTGACATTTGGGGCCAGACACTTTGTTGTTGTGGGAGACTGCCCTGTGCTTGGGAGGACATTTAGCAGCACCCCTAGCCGCTGTCCATGAGATGCCAGTAGCTCTCTCACACCTCTAGATGTGACAATAAAAACATCCTCAGAGGCTCCCTGAAGAGCAGAATTGCCCCCCATCAAGTACTTCTGACAGTAAAGGCACACGTGGCCCTGAGGTTGGCTTCCCCTGTGTTCTGTATGTTGAGGAATAACTGGAGTTTTCACCCAGCAGTTGATGGATTGGGTTGTCGGGAAGAGTGATCCCCATCAACTGAACTATTTAAATATTTGATTTTATCTGCGTGAGTACTGAGGAAATTAGATATTATTAACTGTGGACCTGCACTTGGTTTTTTCATCCTGAGCACATGGATTTAGGCCTATAGCATCTAAGCACATGCCTGGTAAAATGCCTGTGCTAAGAACCTGTGAGGAAAAAAAAAAAAAGAAAATCTGGTACTGTTATGTAGGAAAAGTGCACATAAAGGATCAGAGATACAAATTTGTGAGTTTGTCACAAACTGGATGGAAAAATCCCAAAAGAAATAGGATTAATGGGAGGGGGCTTGAGACAGGGTCTCACGGTGAGTTCAGGCTGACCTTAAACTCACTCTGTAACTCAGGCTGGCAACGAACTTGTGGGCAGTGATCCTTCTACCTCAGCCTCCTGAGTGCTGGGATTACAGACATGCCACCATGCCCAGCCCTAGGAAGTAAGACGAGATAGAGTAGAAAACTGAGGGCCATGCTGTGGGGGACTTATTAATTTCTGTATACACAGCTCCTGTGGCACTGTGACAAGACACTACTAGTTTAGTGACTTAAAGGCACACCATATCTATTATTTTACAGATCTGGAGGTCATAAGTCTGCCAGTGGGTCCCTGTCTTAAAGTCTGGGTGACAGGAAAGTTGAATTTCTTCTGGAGGCTCTAGAGGAGAATCTGTTTCCTTTACTTCTGCAGTTTCTCCAAGCTGTCTACCTTTTTTTGGCTTGTGACCCTTTCCTCCATCTTCAAAGCCATTGACTGTTCTTGAGACCCTTTTACCCCCATCACTCAGACCGTGACCCCTGCTGCCGTTGCCGCGTGTCCTTCTCCGTCCTATCAGGACCTGATGATTACATTTGACTCAGCTGGATAATCACTCCATCTTGAGATGGACTTTACCTGCAAGGTCCCTTTTACCATATAAAGTGAAATCTTCCAAAGTTCTGGGGATTAGGACATGGACATCTTGGCTGGAGGAGCATTATTCTGGTTACCGTATGGATACTGAAATTTAGTTAAATTCAAGAAAGGCAACCAAGGAGTGTTTAAATAGATCAGATGAAACCAGAATAGTGAAGGATCACGGAAGCTAGGAGTGGAAAGGGTTCTAAGAACATAGTGGTCAATTGACAGTAAGTTCATGAGCCTTTGATGTAGTAACCTCACTCCTAGAAATCTGTTTGGTACACAAAGAGCCAATTTATAAAAGTAAATCCAAGTGCTAGCTGGGCATGGTGGTGCATGCCTGTAATTCCAGCACTTGGGAGGCTGAAGCAGGAGGATCTCATGAATTAGAGGCCAGTTTGGGCTACATAATGAGTTCAGGGCCAGTCTGGACTACATAGTGAGATCTTGTCTCAAAGAAACAAAATAAAAACAACCTCACCCACAACAAAGATGGTTATTTAAGCAACAGAATAATCTTTAACTCTTTTATTTATTTACTTATTTTTTGTGTGTTTTTGGAGACAAGGTCTTGCTGTGTAATTCAGTTTGCCTACCCCAATTTATGCTATTGCCTTGTAAAAGTGCCTGTGGTATATGGTAAGCTAAAAGAGCCAGTATTAATATGCATCTATTTTTTGTAAGCAGCCTCCACCTAAAACCCTAAAAACATCAACCCTTCATTGTTTATTTATTTTTGGTGGT